TGTATGTGTTGTTGGAGTTCCTAATTCTGTTTAAAGGTTTAAATTTAGATCTTTAAATAAATAATATAAATTAGTAATTACTATTTGTTGAAGATTCTTCTGCTTGATCTCGAACATCTTGTCTACGTCTGGCTAACAAATCTGTACGTCTTTTGTCATACATCTTTGATATACGTTGTTCCAATCCCACAAGTGAAGGAATCTATTAAAAATCATTTGATTAAGTTGGCAAAAGTACACAGTAGTATAGTACAAATAATATAAAGTAATTAAGACATTAACGAGTAATGTAATTGATCTAAGAATTTGTAAAATTATAAACAAGAATAGACAAATATGTAATTAATAAAAAGTTATAGGTGAACTTTTATGAGTATTATTATAATAACAGCTTATTCAGACAGTAAAATAATATTAAAATCAATAATTGTTTTTTTTTTTTTTATACACGCTAAAAATATATCCAATAGTATTATTAATTATTATTTATAAATTTATAATATTTGACTTTTTATATCATACTTTTCACAAAATACAATAAAATGTAATTAAAATATTTGCAGCATTTTGTTGTTATTAGAAAAAGTATTAAAAAATATGTATTGTACACCAATATCAACATATTAAGTATTCACTAAAATAAAGTTAATAATTTTGTATTTTAAACCAATTTTAGAATGTTAATATTATATATTTTTGTTAGAGCATAATGATCCTATTAATTCTTTTACAGTAGTCTGTCTATTGAATAACATCACTAAAATTAGAAAACACCCCTACCTTTTCATCAAGACATTCTACCAGATCAGTGACGTACCCACGCAAATCTTGATAAAACTGAAAACAATCAGCCAACTCTGGAACATTCATTTTTAGCTTTTCGTTTCTACTCTTAATCTCTGGTATTTCATTTATCATATCTTCAAAATATTTCTGATCTGGATTCTGATTTTTTTTCATCTCACTAACTCTGAAATAAAAAAATACAGATAAGACTTCATAACTATAAACTTATTATATATGATATACATTTCTTTAGATTTATTTATGATATCATCTAAGTTCATTGTAGTCATCGGTGCTTGTGGAGCGTACGAGTCAGAAAATCGAGGTTTTTGACTCATTACTATTGGAATCATAGATTGCTCTTGTATAACCATATTGTTGTACAGGGCACTCATGCCGGAAGATTCCTGTTGAGCAGCAGCTAACTGTGATACTGTTACTCCTTTCCTTATTTGTTGAGTTTCCCAATCATTGTCTTCATCAAGTTCATCAGGGTCTTCAAACTCAGTGTTGTTAGTGTGATCTAAGTTCAATTTATAATTTTAAACCATTTAAATAGTATTAATGTAGTACTAGTACAATTAAATATTTTAATTACCAGCCATCGTAGTATGTAAGCTTTTTTTCCGATCCTCAGCTTGACTAACAATTCCTGACATAACAATAATACCATCATCATCACTATCTTCTAATTCATCTTCTTCTCGTGTTAAACGTCGACCAGTAATTTGTTCATTGTCAACTTTTGACTCACTAAAGCATTTATTTATTTTTATTTATATAAGTTGATTATTATAAGTATTTTATGAAAATACTTATGAGATTGTGATGATATTGGTATGAAATCTTCTCCCAAATCACGTGCTTGTTGTCTTCGTTTTCGAGCAGCATGAATTAATGCTGCGTCGGGAATTTGTCCTTCTGGAAGTAAAATTATCACATTATTACTCATTGAGAATACAATACAATTTTAAATTAAATTTCTGCCTTCTAAATATATTTGCTTTGATTATTCCTCATTTTTTATGATTCCAATATAATCTACTTGCTAATTGTTTAAACAATATTATGAAGAGGTTATTTTTAAAACTTAGTAGTTTCTATAAGCAAAGGAAAAAGTAAAGACAACCTGATAAAAATATTGCTAAATTTCAATAAACCCAGTTTTAAACATTTAACTCAAATTCACAAAAAGTTTTTTTACTTAAGGCGCCCAGTACCAATGTAATTTTGTCCACAAAAATACACTCTATGGTAATAATGATCCTGTTCTGTAGAAACAACCAAATTTAAGGGTAATATTCTTCAGGCAGCATTGAACTACATTTTTCAATATTTTAATCTCAAACTTTATACACATTGTATTAAAAAAAAAACCAACACAATTCTAAGCATTTTTTCTTATAAAAGTATAAAAAACCGGAACCAGGTCCCTTAAAAATTACAGACCACAAAACGAGTTACCATAGTTTATCTTTCATCTTAAATTATTTAATTTGGACTTACATTTTTTTAAATTTGTGCTTAAAAATTGTAATAATCCACAATAAAACAGTTTTTAAAATATAAGGCTAATTCTTACTTTTTAATATTATTTTAACTTGGTCAGGATTAGAAAATCGATGAGATGAAGAACTGTATGAATCAGGTTCTTCATCCGATGATACATAGCCAGCCATTTCAGCAGCTCGGCCTGTAAGCATTATTTCCTTTTCAACAGGTTCAGACTAAACATATTAAGCAAATAATATATAAAACAAAATTATGAATTTGATATAATTTAACAATGAATTACGTTAAAATTTTTTGGTTTTTCATCGACAATAGGTTTCATTGTATCAGCAATAGCTTTTGATTTTTTGCCATTTTCTACTTTATCTCTTCCCATTTTTTCTTTATTCATTTGCTTTTTTATTTTTTTACTATATGATGATTTTTTAACTTTGAATTCTTCGCCATCATCACCTTAAGAAATACAGTTATTACTCCATGATTAATAACAATAATTAATAGTTAATCCAAACAATACTCACATTCATTTAACTCATCACCAAAACTCAAAGTGTTAACTTTCTTTATTGTCTTTTCTTTTAGTGGTTTTGGCATTTTCAGTACTGTATCCACATCCATTTTTTCTTCATTTTCATTGTCCTGAAGAACATTGTCTGAGTCTCTCACACGTAGGTTTCGTTTAGGCTTCCTAAATTGCATTGCCATTTATAACGAGGCTTTAAAAAAACAAAACTTAAATACTATAGATGAAAATTAACGACTTGTTCTTCAAAAAGACAATAAAGTAATTAATATTTAATGGTGTTCGGTACAATACAGAAAATTCATTCACGAATTTGTATTTTGTATATTGTATGATTTAATGATTATACAAATACAAACACAAATTACGGTTCAAGTGATTGTTGATAACATAATCAATATAAAGAATGACCAGTTCACAAAATATAAATTCCCTCGTAAAGTAATAAACTTACAGGTCAATGCTTACTCTAGGCTACAGGCCTTAGATCAGATACTGAGATACGTATATTATGATCTAAGCTACAGGCTAACTTAAAGGCTGGGTTTTATGTAATTTATCAATTATCATCTTTAGGAGTAGCAGACAATTTATATGCTTCAATCGTTAACTTTGAGCGTAGTTCAAAGGCGCATCCTGGAGCTGAAGCTTGGTGGTGGGCGGGAATATTTTTGAGCGATATAAAGTACAATAAAAATTGTATATTTATATTAATTAACATAGGCGTGCGCACAGGGTATGCAGGGTATGCCGCTGCATAGTCTGCGGCTTTATGTGAGGGGCCCATATATAATATACCAAAGCATTTTTGATATCTTCTATATTATAAAAAAAAATAATAAAAATTTAGGTTTCACTTTTCTCGAGACCCGCAAGATAATCTAAACTATTAATACACTAAAGCGTAACACGTAGATATTGTTATCTATGTTGCAAGAATAGAATAATTATTATTGTTTTTATAGTTTGTAATCAAAGACCATATTATTATTATAACTGAGTCCGGTACTATGTCACAAGAACGTCTTGATCCACTGATGTTAATGTTTATCGAGCAAAAAATTGCATCAGAAATAAATATTGAAGAAGTAATAGATGAATTCAAAACATGTGTGCCGATAAAAAGAAGACTTGAACTTTAGAGTTTAGATTTTAAGTACCTTCCATGAAATAACAACATTATTAATGTGTTAAAATTATTCAAAAACATTCATACTTGTATATACTTGATCAAATTTTCTTTAAATAAATATAATTCAAATTTCAAACTACTTATTTCTACAGAGCGTTGTTTAATATTCTACTGTAAAACTATATGTGTGAATTCAGATTCCGAGGGAAGCAAAAAAGCTAAGTAGTATATTTGCAAAAACTTAGATTGTAAATTGAATCCTATATGTGTTAAAAAAAATGTTTAACGGCTTAGAATTGTTTTTTAGAATAAATAAAAGGAAAGATTAGAATTTGTGAGGGGGCCCTATTTTCCTTATTGCATAACCTGCGAATAAAGTCTGAGCACGCCTATGTTAATTAATAATTAACTTTTTGAGAATTGAGAATCCAAGTTCAGTTTAAATACTCTGAACAAACATTCAACATTGATTAACAATTATTGTACTTAATATGATTAATTAAATAATCTTAGTTATAGTTAATAAATATGACTTCTCTTATTTAGGTACACGCAAATATCGAGATTTAATTCCAAAAGTATGAAACTTTAAGTTTGGCATAAATGCACAGTTCAACTTCCAAGCATTTTTTGGATTTTTTCTTCAAAATGCGTGTTTTGCATGCTTAATTTGATGGTACTTTCAAATAGAAACATTCTAACTTAATTCGTAAGTTTTCGATGTACGTTCTGTTAGCAATATCTGATGAGAGATTTCAGGGGTTCACAAAATCTATTGTTATTCGTCAATTTGTACACAAAGTTGCCTATCTCAATCCTGAAAATGTATTGCTAAAATGCTAACGTTCAATTATGTTTTTATTGTCTATCCGATTGCCATATAAATGTTGCTTATGAAAAAATATATTGCCATTATTCAATTTCTTTATTTATGACTTATTCAACTATCAAAAAATCTATTGCTGTTGTTCAATTTCTTCATTTTATTAGTTTATTACATACATGTACAATACTCAAAGTAATAATTGTATCGGATTTATAATTGTTTTAGTTTTGAAGAGAACTGTCTATAAATAGTTTTCTCTTTACACATACTGCTGAACTTACATTTATATGATTATCTTTATCTAACATGTTCGTTTGAGATGATACATCAGAACTTGTACAAGCTTCATTTTCTTTAAAACTTAACTGACAACGTTTGAATACTCTGATTTGATTTCTACGATCACATTTAACTTTTGATAGCTTGCATACTAAATTAGCAATTTCTGTTGTATATGTACAAAAATCATTTCTCGAGTAATCATTATCTTCAAGCTGTTTACGCAAATTTGTATTATTTTCTGTTTTTGCTCTTAATGATTTCCTCAAAGCTGAGTTTGCATTGTTCAATGTCATAACTAAATTTTTTTTAGCTTTATTGCATTTACCTTTTTTTAATATCACATTACAAATATCACTTATTGCTTCGTGAGATACACCTATGCCATCAAATTCCATTGTTGGATATTTTTGTTGAATGAAATGCACTATTTCATCAACTTTTTTTAACACAATCATTTTAAAATTAAATTTACTATTACTTTAGGAGCCTTACTCGACTGCTTCTCAAAGGTAAAATGTATTCTTATGTTAGGTACTAATTTAGTAGGAGCCTTACTCGACTACTTATCAACAGTAAAATGTATTATTTTGTTACTATTGTAGGTAGTAGGAGCCTAACTCGACTACAATATTTGTTATAAATAATACCTGCTTGTGTAAATTATAAATATATGCATACAGTTTCGGATAGATTAGATACTTAAATTAGTTGATAATGTACATAATTCACTTTTTTTCTGATGGATGGACAGCTCTCGAAGAACGTATGAGAATTTTAGTTACAGCAAATATGACGGGAACCAACCAGAAAAAACTTCTTGTGATCGGGAGTCCTAAAGATCCTAGAAGTTGTAAGGGAATAAAATTGCAAAAGCAATATATTCCAAGCAATTTGTATGTTGGAGTCAGCATGGGAGAAAATTTCACCAAAAATGATTACAAATTGTTTTGGTAATGCCAAGTTAAAATAAGTAGAAGAAGAATCAAATGAAGCAGAAAGTTTGGTTTCTTGGGCTGCAAATTTACTTATTTACGACGCCAAAGCACTTCGGCAATTCGTAAATGTAGGTTCTGAACTTGTAAGTTCTAGTCAGTTATTGGGTGCTGAACATATTAGTTGTGATAATAATGAAGAAGAAATATTTAAAGAAGAAACAGACAATGATGAGGAAATAGATACAGGAAAAGAAAAAGTTACATTGAGTCAAGCATTTGATGCACTAGACAAATTATTTAAACAATTTTTAGCAACTAACATTATCCAAAAAGTTACAATCACACTAAACAACTTCAAATTCTATTGGAAAATAAACTACTAACAGCAAAAACCAATAATCAAAATCAATAACTATTTCAAAAAGTTAATATAAATTTGTCGTAATATTAATTATTTTTAATTTTAAGCATCAGAAGATCATTACAAAAAAAATAAACATTGTTGTATAAATTAGGGCTTTGCACTCAAATAATGAATTTAGGTATTGAAATCCAGTATTGATAATTGATACCCTTTTTAATATTTTGGGTACCAACTACCAACCGGTGTTGGTAGTACAATCATATTGGACTCGGATATTGGGTGTTTTGAAACAATGCGAGATATTATATAGGTACTGTATACGAATATTGTAGTACCATTTTGTTAGTTTTGCTGTTTTTTCTGTAATTTAAAAAATATTTTTCTATCTTATTTCTGTGTTATATTTTACAGTACAATATATCAATACATAATATGAATAATGATGAGTGTTTTTATCAATGTTTATTAGAAATATTAATATATTGTTAATAGTTTCATTTAAATAGTAATAATTAATAATACAATTTTTGTATCTCAGAGTGGAGATATGTTCACATAGAAAACCATAGTTCATATTTTTGGTATTAGGTTTTTATGTACCAGTATGGTTTATGACAATATTTTAAAGTCCAGAATCCAGTTTAGTTGGTATCAGTAATTATTTTGGGTACTTTAACGGTAACAGGTTGATTTGGGTGCAAAGCCTTAGCATAAATGTTGTTGCCTATTAGGTATTAAGTATAGATCACCCATTAAAATATTGTTTATATATTTTGAATTTTTAACATTTTTGTTAAAAATAAAATATCAATAAATAGGTATAAATTATATAAAAGAAAAATATTAGGAAAGTATTATATAATATGGGATTAGGTGATACCATGTCTACATGGCCATCTACATAAAAAAATATTTTGGATTGAAAGTAAGTAAAATAGGTCATAGGTATGTAATAAATCCAGTATTGATAAAATATTAAATTGTTTGTAATTTTAATAATTGTTATATAAAATTGTTAAATGATTAAAACATTATGACAACAATGCAATCTTAAAAATACATTTCCAACAATGTATATAATATAATATGTGTACTTTTTACAACAGATTTAGATGTTGTGTACATTGAAGTTTATATTTAACCTATGGATCTGGTACTTGTTGTTGTATTTGTTGCAGATCCTTCCCGTACAGTTTTTCGTCTCAGACATACTTTAAATGCAAATCCCACTGCCCTACATAGTCGGTCGCTCTATTTAAAATGTTAAAAATTATTTCTTTTACAGGTCAAGTCAAACTTATATTATACTTCTAAAGTAATAGAGAAAGTACGTACCGAAAAATCTGTAACAATAATCAAATAACATAGCCATCGGTTATTGCTAGAGTCTCTGCTGGTATAAAATAATTGATCTGTGTTGCCTGCAGCCGATGCACAAAATATTACATTTTCAATAGTATGAGCCAGAATTAAACCCTAAAAAATATATAATTTCTTATTTAAAATTTGATCATTAGTCTGGGCTAAAAATGTTAAATGGATATTTAAATTCTATGAATATTTTAAGATTTATATTGCATTAATTTATGATATTATTTAAAGGGATTAAATACGGACAGTATTTGAGTTCGATATAGATATTTTTCTAAGAGCGTGCATTCGGGATTTGATACTTGTAAATGTGTACCTAGTAACTACTATCTAGTAAGTGATCATTTATAGTCCAAATGTACAACTACAAGTAACCACGTGCATCGTGTGCGTGAACGATAAAAATTATAATAATAATAATAATATTATGCTCATTTGTATGTACTCTTTTTCAATCCTACCTATGGACCTAATGACTAATATAATACTTCTGAAAACCTGAATTGAATTTGTTAATATGTCAGCTTGAGATCTATACCAGGTCATATTTTAAGATTTTTAATTTAAATTTTGAACAATCACCATTCAAATTAAATGTATAAAAGTCGGGGAAATACATTTGATAAAGTGGTCTGATCGACCTCAATTAGAAATAATAAATAATTTATATCAGTCTTAAATGTACATCAACAATCGCTTGACTGGATCCATTGGTATGATTGACAAAAGATGGAAACATTTTGATTGAAATAACTGACTGTTTGCAATCCCCTTAAGTAAGATTTTTATACTTAAACTTTACACTTGCAATAAACACTGAGGGTATAATCATATATTCGCTGGGTTTATTGGTAAAATAAATTATTAACTATGTTATTTATCACTCAAATATTGATCCTTTGTTAATAGTCGATTATTTATATTATAGATTATCCCAGTCACCCACAAAAATATCCTAAGCCACCAAAAATGTTGTGTTAGAAACTTAGGAGCATTCTATCCTTCTATCTGATCTATCGTGGTAATTGGTATTCACATGTAGTAAGCACATTTTTTTACTTTTGCTGTTATAATTTATAGAAATATTATATTTGATTATTATTACGGATATCTACTAATTTCACAGTTGAAGTTTCATGTACTATATTGTTTATTTTTCGGATATTATTTAGGGCAGTGGCACAATTAGGAAAAATATTTAGGGGGGCTCAAGCCCTAAGAAATTTTATTTAAAATTATAAAACATATTTTTTTTTTTGAGTGGGCTTTTTGGAGGGACTGAGCCTCCCACTATTTGCTCCACTGACAATAGGTAATATTTATGATAAAGGGAACAATTAATATATTTAAAATATTGATAATAGAGTGTGCTTATGCAAATTTATTTGATTATTTAAGTGTAAGCTAAATTTAAAAAAAAATGAGGCCTCCCCTACAATTCTACTAAATGTTTGAATGTTTGTCTATGTTTATAAATTATAATTATTTATAGGCAGCTCAAGTGCTAAGTTTATATAACAACATATTTTTTTTTTTTTATTGGTCTTAACATAATGTTACATATCTATATAGGCTCTTTTACACAGATATAATTAACATCGAAAAATGTTATTGAATCATATAATATTATAACCTTTGATTTTTTTTCAACAATTCTTAATTCGTAACCTGTTATCCACAAAATTGCAGAATTCGGATGAGAAATTCCTGTCTTATATTCCTGATATAGTTTAGCAAATGATTCACGGCATATTTTTGAATTTGTGGGTTCCGATACTTCAACGCTTCCCAAATACTAGAAAAATAAAAGGTAAATATGTGTTAACCGACACTTAATAAATATATATTATATAGGTAACATAGGCGTCAACAAGTCCAATGCCGGGTATGCCATGGCATCCCCTGCAGAGTTATAATACATTAATACCCATATAGTTTTTAGCAGTAAATGTTTTGATTATAAATTAGAATCATGAACTAATAGATAGTTCATAGTATCTTAGTTCAATAATTTAAATATTTTGATTATTTTTTTATATTATTTTCCTATAATAAAATATTGGGAGTTGGGACGAAATCAAATATTAATTAGATTTCATTATCACCACAGGTACCTATAAATAATAAAAAGGTAAGTGGATGTCGCTCTGCTGTACTGTAGGTTACAAGTGGGTCACTGTATAATGGATGGTACCTATTAAATTTGAACTCAACGATATAATATCATTGCATAAGAAAAACGATTCTGATCGGAGACGGTATGTCAGTCTATAGGTATGAGAGATATTATATACTTATCTATGGTATTAAATTATATGGAATTTATGAATAAATTATTCATTGCCCCTTAAAATATGCACAGCCTTATCATTGAGCATACTTCTTATTCCTTATACTATGGTAGATTGTATAGGTAGGCCATAATATTTTGATTTTTCAGTTTCATAATAATATTTTTAAATTACAACAAAAAACCAAGATCGTTAATATTGATTTTAATATGTAATTTCGTCCAAATATGAATTTAAAATGTCTGTAAAAAATAACTGTGCTCATATATTTTTTAGATTTTTTGGCTACAGTATGAACTATTTCTGAGAACCTTTGTTTTAAATTTGCAATCCTTAACTATATAAACTGAACATTTTATAATTTATTAATTACGATGATTGATAATTTTCGAGATTTTGATAAATTTTGTCAAAATGCGATTTTTAAATGCTTATAAAAAAAAATTGTGCCTATGTATTTTTTAATATTTTTCAATTGATATTGTAACAATATATCAGGAGCCTTGTATTAATTTGTTACACATTTTGGCCCAACAGATAAAACTTTATTGATATTTATAGAAAAAAAAATCTAAAAAAATTGAAAACTGAAAATGTCCGTAAACGGCTCAAAAAGAGTCAAAATATTTTCAAAATTGTATGGTGTATAGAAAATGCTAATTTAAACATTCAGTGATATTTTCATGTATCTACAGTTATTCGTTTTTGAATTACAACAAAATAAGGAAATCGCCACATGAGAAATCGAGTGAATATTCAATGTTGTAAAAATTTGAATTTCAAACGCTCATAAAAATTTAATTTTACTTTCTTATAGACATTTTTGTTTTGATAAAGGTAGATAATCTTATAAAGAATCCTGTATTACATTTTCAAATCTAAGATTTAAAAAGAAAATTTTTTACGAATTCTTAACTCAAAATAATTAGCTAATTTTCGTGATTTTTCCATATTTTGTCAATTTTTGAACTTTAAATGCTTATAAAAAAAAATTGTGACTAAGGATTTTTAATATTTTTCATCTGCCTTTGAAACAATATACTAGGAGCCTTCTATTAAATTTTCAAACTTTTTTAATCAACAAATAAAATTTTATTGATTTTTTAGAAAAAAAAACCAAAAAAAAATTGAAAATGAAAATGTCCCTAAACAGTTCAAAATAAATCAAAATATTTTGAAAATGTTATCGTGTATAGAAAATGCAAATATAAACAACTAGTGAAAATTGCATGTATCTACGGTCATTTGTTTTAAAGTTACATGAAAAACCAAATTCAATTTTGTGAAAAATCGATTTTGCGTAAAAATTCCCGTTTTTCCTTAATTTTTCTTTTGTTTTTCCCGGCGCTTTTGAAAACTACCGGGAAATTTAAATTTTGACCTCCCCAATGCACCAACGATATTCACTTTCGAATCGAATAAGATACTGAAGTTGATAGTCGAAGCATTATTTCGACTACTTATCGTGTACACAGACACAAAAAAAATAAAAAAACACACATCATTGTAAAATCAATACGTTCCTCATTCGATCGTTCCACTCAGAATCTAAAATAAAAAATAAAAAAATATAAAAACACCCATCATTGTAAAATCACTAAAATCAATACATTCATCGTTCCACTCGGAATCTAAAATAGTTTCCTAACTCATAATAATATAGGTAGGTAACGTTGAAATCAAAATCCACCATTTTCGTGAGAATTGGGTGTTTTGTCACCAGAAAATTCAGGGCCCTGCAGTGTTGCTTATTTCCATACTACCTACAACTATCAAAAATAAAATAATTTCGATTAATTAGATTACCATTTTTGTTATTATTATATATTATTATAATATAATCAAATGTCTGTAGGTTTTTATACTGCTGTTACTTTATTGGAATGAAATCACAGTACAACCTTTTCAAATTAAAATATCTAAAACCAATAAATAAGCTAAATAAAATGCATGTTAATTTCTTTTCGCATTATATGGCAAGTTATTTGTACCTATTAAGAATTTTTGGGGAGTTATTTTTTGTATTGAGCTTGGTATGTTTAAAAATACCGGCATACCCTGCGAAAAAAATCTGCGCACGCCTATGATAGGTAACACTTTCTAATTAGTATTGAATGCTATATATGGTTATTATATAATACTTACGCCAACGTTAAAAGAACAATTTCCATCCAATATGCCGATTTCGTCTTGGGGCCATCGATTAATCGTATCATTTAAGACATGTCCACAATTTCTTCTTCTATAATTTGTCATTTTATTTTTCACAATATGTTTAAATTGACTACAAGTCAGCAGTGCGGGCGATATAAACGAACTACTGTAGGTTAAATCAAAAATATGGGTTTTTTTTTATTATTTTATTAATTTTTGCAACTTTATAACATATTATAATGACGGCCGACGGGACACACGGGACAAAACCAGACGTTTTACGGTACACAGTACCTACGTCAGGAGATCGTATAGTGTAGTACATACAGTGGCGGATTTTCAAAATTTTTCTGGGGGGGGGGTCCTAAAAATAATATGTATTTAAAATGTATTATTTTTATTTTAATAAAATTAATAAATAAATTATATATGTATATATCAGTGTCTGGGGGGGTCCAGACCCCTGGACCCCCCGTAAATCTGCCACTGTGTACATATAACACAAAATAATATTGTAATATTTTTCGAAAATCTAGTAAAAACAGTTAACACATATCATCTTCTTATTCTTATAAATTATTATCCAATACGAACATAGGGCACTAATGCACTATAGGCCAATTAATGCATAAAACGTATAAGAAATTGGTAATGGTTGGAAATTCCAGTAATTAGTACAGCCGTACAGGTAATTATAATACGAGGCTTGTCCCAAAAGTAAGGTCTCCATTAATATAAAAATCGAAAAAGTGCTTTATTAAAAAAATGTTTACATGGTCATATTATTATACTACTCATACACTATTTTTCGACATAATCGCCGTTCATATCGAGACATTTTTGTAGTCGATCTGGAAGCTTTTATATGCCAGAGTCATAGAATCCTCCGTCCACCTCTTTTTTCAAGTACTCCATCACTACAGTCTTCACTCTTCACTTCTTCTTCTTCTTCACCCATCTTGCACTACACTTTCGGCATCCCAGATCACATATGATTCTGTGAAGCGAGGACTTGGGTATCTGCAACTTTTCTTCAAGTTCTCGAACAGTCACTCGTCGATCTTCACGAAGTTCAGACTCAACTTGTTCTTGGAGATTGTCAGAAACAGATATAGCCTTCCAATTCTGACTTCATCATGGATATTCGTCCTCCCATTTGAAAATTCTCTGCACCACTTCCTTACGTTTTTAATTGACATAGACGTCGATCCATAAGAGGTACAAAGTTGTCGATGGATGGCCGCCGGCGTCTCGTCACGCGAGTGAAGAAAACGGATTACCGCGCGAAGCTCACACTGAGTATGGACAGATAAGGAGGATGACGCTGACGAGGTTGACGCGCTCATCTCGTTCACGTGTCACGAGGCGACGAGGGTACTTAAGTTACTTAACGTCCGAACCGTCTTTAGAGTTCAAACTTTATTAGACAGATAAGAAGTTGATGGTTATATCAGTGGTACCAACTTATAAAAATAAAATTTTCCTTGGCCGCTAGAAAATTGGAAACCTTATTTTTGGGACAAGCCTCGTAGGTAGTTAACAGTAAATCGTCATATTATTAAATTACATAAACTATTAAAAACCTTTACCGACATTTATTTAACATTGATGTATACATCATACATGTACCAACTGCGATGCATTTTTTAAGGGGCCTGGTCGCGACCTGTTTTTTGCTCAAAAACATGCCTTACAGGAAAAACTCTCACGCCTTGTAGATTGGTCCGATTTCCGTAATTTTTTTTTTGTTAAATAGAGAAAGACGTATTGCAGGGCGCATTGGACTTGGATTTTCAAAATTATTTTTCGAAATCTTATATTACAAGTTTGAATTTAATCCATTTTTACAACTTTTTAGTTTTTGTATTATTATTTATTTTTAGCAAGGTAATCAAAAATCAAAGTCCAATGCGCCCTGTAAAAAATATTCTTCTATCCAACAAAAAAAAAATTACGGAAATCGGACCAATCTACGAGGTGTGAGAGTTTTTCCTGTAAACTGTTTTGACCGATATAATACACCCTATCAACCCCCCCTAAATAGGTATTGGGTAGTAGATTAGTGGAAAAGTCTTATAATTGAGGTGGCAACTCAAATATAAAATTTAATTTTCAAATTTTATAGAATTGCGGAAAATTTGAAAAATCGCGACCAGGCCCCTTAAGGAATTTTCACTGGGTGACCAAAAATATATTCTCAAAATAAATATGATAGTATGGTAAATGATTTTATGCTCACAACTCATATTTATTAAAAATAAATATTAATGCAATAATGCTTTAAAGTAGACTGTAGAAGTCAGTAGCGTACGCAGGATTTTGGTTCGGTTAGGGTTTACCCGTGTAAATAATTTACTATATATTTTGCTTAACAGTTTTAATATAATTGGTTATAACAAATTATAGTTAGTCTTCATTTAGAATACTCGAGTGTTTAACCTGGACATCTGATCATCTATAGAGCCTCTTCGTGTCGTAATACACGTGGTAATAATCGATGGACGATGATACACCATACAACTATTGTGGTAGACGTTTAGCAATGTTCTAAATTAGCCAATAAAAAACTGAAGCTATGATTATCCACGTCTTTGTCATATTTAACAATTGATTTTATATCTATTAAAAATTACCATCAATTTATGGTAGGTAATTGTAATGTAACTGTGTATTATGAAATGGGGGTAAATATGATTTTTTTGTAAAAGGAAGACATTTTAGGGGGGGGTTAGAACCCTAGAACCCTACCCCTGCGTACGCCACTGGTAGAAGTAAATGGTAAAAGTGAGTTATAATTTATTTAAAATACTAGACATAAGAATTATAAAAATAACTGTATATTAAGTAATGTAATATACTAATATCGTTTTCGAAAATGCCATTGAATAGGTTGGCCCGCGGTTGGACACAACGGCATGTCGGCATAACGTGATACCTACTCATTATAAAGTAATATCAATATAATAACATACATACATAACATACCTCGTATAAGGCAAAATATTATATATTTTAAAGTTTTGACAAAGTAAAAATATTTCCAGTTGTTTTATTTACTTTTCTATGGAATAGTATCTTCGTCGACTACTTCTGATGGCCCATGACGACGACCGGATGACGTAAGGGTCGTATACTCGATCGTGCGTATTTGCGGAATAAAATAATAATATTATAATTTATAACGGCGTTAACGTTTAAATCGAATAATTAATGATAAAATATGGATAACGATTAGCGGTATATTAGTCATAGATCTCGTCGGACGAAATTGGAAATACGAACGCCGATCAGCTGATGTTGACCGAGATCGTGAAAATGAAATAATTGACATCGGTCGTGCCTACTGCCTAGATTTCGAAGAGAAATCACGCGTAACCTGTTTTCTCCTACTCAAGTAACGCGTGATTCGCCTAATGTAGTAATGTGTATACTGTGTGTACCATCGAAAAGGTCTATTATAAAGGAATGATTTTAAGAGGATGTCAGCGCACTGTAATATATTTTCTCTCTCTGGCCCAAAACGTATTGACGCAGAATCATGTTTTCTATGTTTTTAAGTAATCTTAGAGTAAAATCACCCATTACAAAAAAGATAGAGAATAATATTTTTCAGGGAATGACATTTCGATTTTATATTTTATTGTTATTTGACTTTAAAAATAAACAACAATATGTTGTACGTTACGATGATGATAAAAATTAAATTGTTTTGAGATTATTAACCACAGATCACACTATCGTAGTATCGTCTATCATGGGCCACAGCGTCATAGGTCTATAGAACTAATCGGTGTATGAACAAATAGGGACCTAGTCAACACATGCGGATACGTCCTATAGGTAGTCCTATTATTATTTTGTCATGCTATAGTCTATACAGAATAAATACCTATAATAGTCAATACTCATGATATAAATTATAAACAAGTAACAACTGTCAACAAGGTAGGATCGGAACTTTTTGACGGTCTGCAGATCCTTCGGTAAGCCCGTGAGTACGTCTTAGCGTAGCCAGTTACGGTCAAATGATTTTTGCATAGTGGAGGGGATGGGTGGTGGTGGATATCTTTGATTTTTTAACATGCACTATTTGATTATTCCAAATATTATTTATGGTTATCAGATCTTAATCATTGAAAAATAGGTCATGGGGTGATCAGTCCCACTCATCCCCTCCCCCATACCGTTTGACCGACTGAGCGTAGCGTAAACACCTTAGATCAGCGTTTCTCAACCTGTGGCAAGCGGAAAAGCTCATAGGTGGTACGATAAGAACATCTCTCTTTATACAAAAAAAAAAAAATGGATCATTCACATAAGAAATTATTTAGTATATTTGTTATATTTAATAATAATATAAATAATAATTTTACATACTTATTAAATTTCCTTTTTATGCATTAAATGATTATATTATTATCATCATTTTGTAGTTCCTAATAAAATTAAATTCCGTGTACATGTAAAGTAACATTTTTGATAAGCAAAAAAAATACGTTATTCGGTCAAGTGGTACATGAAAATTTTCAAACTGTACGCGGATATAAAAATAGGTTGAGAACCGCTGGCTTAGATCATATACTAGTATAATATTATGATCTAAGGTAAACAATTGCAGCTGTTGTACTAGTGTACTATTAATAATTTAATGACAACATGATAATAAGGGTAAGCATTAGTGACGTGTAAGCAGACTTGAATCAAATCTGGACTCTTGAGATCATACCTTGTAAATAGTCATGTATATTTTAGTCATTTTCAGATATCATTTATCGGCGTTACCAGCGCATAAACAGAAGTGCATAACTGGCCTAACTGCCGTCTGACTCGATGATAATGATTAACGGCACTACGCGCTTCGAAGGTACCTACATGGCTACATACTCTTGATACTTCTATAGTTCTATATATCTATATTATTGTTCAACGACAGTTATAACCTTGAAACAGTGAATAAAACAAATTTTATTTAAATATGTTTAATCGGGGGAGATTCCCAAATTCTATAAATCAATTATACCTAACCTAACGGCTAACCTATAAGTAAATTCTGCTAGCACTGAAAAATAATAGACTACTATATACTGGGTGATTCTTTTATCAAACAACACTCATCATTTCAAAAAGTGTAAATTTTTTGAAGATATTTTTTTACATAGTTTCAAGTTTAGACGAGCGGAGTGGAGTGGTTCGGGGTTACCCCGCGAAATGTTTGTCCACTTCTCCGCTCGTCTAAACTTTAAATACTTATAACTCATAAACTACTCGCCCCAAATTCAATTTTCATGTATCAAAATACTAAGAAAAATATTCTACTTTAGAATATAAGATTAAAACCCTATGTTGTCATTCAAAAAAGTAAAAAACTTAAAAAATTATAAGGATAAAAAATAATTAAAAATATAATTTTTTTATATAAACGTTGTTTTATAAGCGACTTGAAACTATGTAAAAAAATATCTTCAAAAAAATTTACACTTTTTGAAATAATGAGTGTTGTTTGATAAAAGAATCACCCGGTATAGTGAACAACATAAAAAATATTTTTAGTAAAAATTTTTTACCCAACAAATAGTCACATTAACTTCCAAGAGTAAATAGACACATTCAAACATTCTAATTCTGGCTATGAAGCATTCAGTATGGTAACAACTTAGATACGAGGATAAGTAGTTCAAATGTTTTATCTCATTTAAATCAGAACTTCCTTAGCTTCAGCTAATAACAATTGTGTTCGGTCAGTGATCATTGTGTAGGTTAGATCATAGTTAGATGGATGTGATTGATACTACGGTTGGTTAGGTGATATTATAAGCTGTAGCCTGTGATCTGTGGTTATTACTAATAAGTTATTATGTATTACAGACATTATTGAGAAACTATATGATACCAAATGGTCAATAAAAATAAAAATAATAAAATGTTTGAGGTCAGAGTCAAACATTTTTTTGGGGAGGAAAATAACATACAAAACTATTGGTAATAATTAAATACCTTTAATACGCTTGACATAAAAACAATCGATACTTTTTATATTTATATATAATTCATACGACAACAATAATTAAGTACAAAGGTTCTTAGGCATCTAAAAATATTGTCTAAGTTTTCTAATAATATGTTTATACCAAAAAATATAAACAATAAGATAAGGGTTTTGCAAACATGTTTCAATATGTTTTAACTTTAAGTACAATACAAAGTAATAGGTAAGTTAATTCTAAATTGGTCATAACGAAACCATTAGCATATTATTCAGTATCCTAAGAGGATTTACTAATTTAAAGTGGTTGGGTAATAGAATTTGTATTAATCCAAGTACTTAAAACTAGTAAATCTTTATAGGACACCTTGTATACGTAATACGTATAATATATGATATATTATAATATAATAAATCATATTTTATTATTATATACTATATAATAATACAATTATAACATAATATTTTTATACACTTTAGAGGCCACTAAAATCACAATAATATTGTATAAAATAATTATCTCTTATCCATATGTCTTGTATATTTATTATTAGTCGTTTTCATAAAATGTTGGTTGAAAAATGAGAATTATTTTTAATTGCACTTAAGCCATTTAAAAACAATACTGTAATTTCAATACTTAATACATGTCTAAGATCTTTCGTACACTACTATTCTCTGTCAAAAACATAAACAACATATTACATCTATATACAATTGTGTATGTATGTATAACATATGAATGTTCACTGATATAATATATAGATATATACATATATTTAATGATATACACGTGTCCCATAATACAAACACCAATCCTTCCCAAGTGGATAGTCCAAATAATAACAACAATAAAAATTAATCGTATACGAATAACATAATAAGGTGGTGCATGATATTGATTAGAGTATTCACTAATTAATAGTTAATAGGTACGACAAATATTTTAAAAATTGAGTTTTAACCAAGTGTTAGCTACTTAATAATTTTATTTTACAGGTCTAGTTGCTCTCAAGCATAACAAATAACCAGTTAGATAAATTATGATGCCTAATCCATACATGATTAATACTATGCGTAATAATATTTGTTTATAATAATAATCTATACATAATAATATTGTTTTTTAAAAATAATTTTTAATCATAAGAAAATATAATACAAACTAAAATACTAACAAGTAATACATATATATATATATATATAATATATTAATAATGAAAAGAATAATTATATTCATCAATATTGATACTACTGTTATTATGATATTTTTAAAATTATAACATACAGAAGTATTAGTATTTAATTCCCGTATTTTCTATGAGAGCAATACGGATAGTATTATAAATTATAATATAATGTTACCACAGATACTCGCGTACATCGTACAGTATGTACAATAATAATAATAATAATAATAATAATAATAATAATAATAAAAATAATAATAAACATTGTTGTGTATCAATAGAAAAAAAAATGCAGTCTATTGAATACACAAATATCACAGAACACGCAATCCCTATTCAGTACGCGGCTATAAGCGTTTTTTTTTTTTTTAATCATAATACAGTTTTAGGTGGTCTTATAACTGTGAAAGTGTTTGACTTGTTAAACCAAAAGCGAAAGTAAAGAAGTAACATTTATATATAATATATGAAAATGAGGGATGCAAATAACTGAATCATCATTATTAAGATAACTGTAAAGACGACAGAAATACAGTCTTGTGCCAATAAAAAGGTAAAATGAATGCAAGGTGAATCATTTTCAATCTAACAGGTATATAGAAGAATACATATATCAACATTTTGATCTTAGAAAAATACACATTATATACATTTATGCTTATGGTTATAAATAATCATTAAATAATACTTGGGTTAGAAAAAATTGGCAAATACTGAGGACTCGTTTAAGAATTTATACTGTTTGTTTACTAATTTAGTGTTGGTTCGTAAATTATTAGAAGTTCATTTAATAAAATATTATAATTGTATATCCTATTTATATACTTTTATACTTTTATATTGTGAGAATATAAATATAATTTATTATTAATAGTTATAAAAAATTAAAATATTATAACTATGAGTAAATATAAGTAATATGTTCAATTTTTATTGTTTAATATCACTATTTGATTCAATTAGTTGTTAATAAATTATAACCTTTTATAGAAGTGAATTTTTCTCCATTAGCTATATGTGTGCGATAAGTTCAAATTCGTTAGTAAGGTACCCTTAGCTGTCAATATTTATATCAACACAAAATTTAACATAAAATATTATAATATACTAAGTATTTTAACGTTAAAAAAATATTGATATGTATAGGTTGCAAATGAACGTATATAAATATTATTTAATAATTTAGTTTAAATTCATTGTGCATGAATATTAAGTTTATGTTTTATGTTTAGTTACAGACAAATGTAAAAAAATATTAATAATAGTTTATGCAATTGTAGCTTGACCACCATATTTATTGATAGTTGTGTAACTCATTTCTAAATATATTTTATTTAAGTACTTCTTGAAACTAAAAATTATATGAGTAATGAGTTAATAACTTTTTAACAGATATTTTTTTAAGGATACTACTTAAACATAAAATAGAATCTATTATTATAAATGCACTTGGTAATACTTAAGTTATTGAAAAATAAAATAAAAAGTTTACTAAAAAGAGAAGTACTAATAACAAATAATTTTGTTTGATCAATTCAAATTTTGATTTTTTTTCAAAGATAGTATATAGTACACTAGATCAAATAGCATCAATAAGAAGTTTTGTTAATATTAATTTTGAACACTAATTGCACAATCCTGAATCCAATCTTAATTAGTATTATGGTAATCGCATATTCCCTTTCTCTAATTACATTTTTACTTCATATTATTCAATTTCGATTATTTTGAGAAGTAATCACATTTGAACTTCAAAAGTTTTGACAGTTTTACTTTGGCTATTTGATATTGGGCTACTTAAAAAAGGATTTGTATTTTGTTTTGGGGCAATATAATTAGGGTCAAATGGATTGGCTGAAATATTATTAAATGTGCGATAAGCATCTTCAGCAGTGTCTAAAGAAAACGCACGACTGTGTGTTACTAAATGTGGATTTCTTTTAGGTGTGACCTGGGGATCCATTGACTGTAATGTAACTGCTGCCACTTTACCTAACCACTGTTCAGGTCTTGGAAGTGACGATGGAGGAGTAGCGGGTGGAGTTGGTGGTGTAACTGCCTTGTTGTTAATATTCCATAAACTGGAACCTGAATCAAAGCCTTCGTCCTGTTGAGGGCTAATACGACTCTCTGGTTTTGGAGTGGAGGGGTTACTTTGGGTTTCTGTAGATAATGTGGATTTTTTTGATATACTGGCAAGAAATGCTTCACTTCCAGTAATCGGGCCTTGTTTTGAATTGTTTTCTAAAAAATAAACACATGATATTATATAATATAATGATACTAAATAATGTGTTTAAAAGACCACAATTAGTTAGTTTTTTCTTACTCAAGTAATATAGCAAAAATGAGTCCATACAAATAGGTCATTTATTAGTATTAGGAATTGATTTTTAGGACTATATAACCTACACATAGATGTTAGAAACCAACATTTTCAAGGGCATCTCTTAAAGATCTTTTTAAATATACTAATTTACAATATTCATCAAACGTCAAGGTATAACAATAGACTACAGTAATATACAAATTTTATTTCTAAAAATATGTATGACACATAATATGAGTTCAACAAAAAAAGACCACAATGATTGCAAAAAAAGTTATTTTCTTTATTATATGGATTATAGGTGTTCAGCTTTAAAAGTTCATCCAATAATTTATGCAAATATATATTTTACTTTGTTGTACACCATGCGAGAAATAAATATAGCAAACCTATTGTTATGTTGTCTTCATTTTATATGTTATATATATATACATAATATAGTGGATTCCGCCTAATGTGAGCACTGGTTAATATAGGCAACCGCTTAATGTTGGCAAATGAGTTTAGTCTAGGATGACCATATTTGGAAAATAAAAAAAAAAGGGAAAAGCCCCCAAACCCCTCGAAACATGTAAAAACACATAAATATACTGCTCATAAAACGGGACAATCCCGTTTTAAACGGGATGTATGGTCACCCTAGTTTAGTCCCAACTTGTTCACATTTAGCAGACTTCACTGTATATAATATAAGAAAACAATTAAAAATTAATTTACCTATACTTGTTGGATCGTTTGATTTAAATTTCTCAGAGAAATCGTCATTGGCTGTACTATTTGTAAGAAACGCCAATTCTAATGACATTTGTTGACACATAGCTGTTACTTGATCTGTTGTTGACATTGGTTTTTCACTTCGAGGAGAAGCTTCAAGTATAGGACTCACTAAAATAAACACAAATATTGTTATTTATTATACCATTATTATTTATTATGTTATTCATAGTTTTGACTTTAACTCTGTACCTGGAGTATTCATTTGTAAAAGTTTATTAGATGTACGGGAATTTGCTGTTGGTTGTAGACTCATTGACCTCGTTCTCTCCAAATTAGAAGGTAATTCAGATATTCGAAGTGACAACTGCCTTTTGAATGGAGATGCTTGATTAAGTTGTGTAAACCCACGAAATGATCCTTGTCGTTGTAACATTGACAGTGTTGCATGCGGTCTTTCAATCGCATTGGTGCTAACTTTTGGTGTTGTAGGGTTTTGTTGCAATGGTTTTACTGTTGTTGGTATATCTAGAATAAATATTACATTTGTATGTAATTCAGGTAGTAATGATTACTTAACTAATTTTTAAATTAAATTCTACTAATCAATAATAACTGCACTAAAGTTATCTAAATAAAATATATACCTTTATTTAACTGAAGAAAAGGGGGAGGTTGTGGTGGTGCATTGAGCGGAATATTAGGTTCAGATTGTTGTTCAGTTAAAGATGGAGTTCTAAAACTGCCAGTTCTAGTAAAAACTGATGTTTTTGGATCATAGTTCATTGTAACAGAACAATCTTCTTCTCGTTTATTTTTTCTTATCAGACATTCTTGAAAAGCACATCCAACAGCATGACTTAATCGGTCACCCTATTAAAATTTCATAATTAGTATAAATGTAAAAACAAATAAGAAAATATATTTTTATTTTACATTTACCGATTCTTTTAGAGCTACAAAACCGTGACACATCCATCGACGAGTCAGTCCGTCTCTACATATGTATGAAAATCCTTTTTCATGACTCCGGTCTGGGGCACAGAACGAAACTTTTTCAATTGTTTGATCTACTATCAAACCCTGAAAATCAAGAATTGTATAACAACAGTTTTATAAGATTTTAAAAATTATTTACTTTTGTTTCTTCTTCTACGACACGCAGTCCATCTCCTGATATGTAAAATATAGCTCTGACTGGTCTGCGGCGTGAAGCCTACAAAAACAAAACAAAAAAATTAAATCTTCATTTTATGTTAATGAATGGGTGATAACATTACCCTAAGTGTTTTTAAAGCTTCTTCGCATACTTCCATTCCTCTTGATTCAAAGACTTCGACACAGCCCAAATACTGTAAAACAAAAATATATTACTTAAACAATATTACTATATAAATATTATTAAACTATAATTGCTATTTCAATTATTATCTAATATAAAAAGTGTTTTATACATTTTTATTTAATATAGGTTTTTAATTAATTACTATCAAATTTATTCAGTAGGTAAGTAATTTATTTGTATTGGTAATTGCAAGTTATCTAATTATGTGTAAATACTGTACATTGTAATTATATTATAATAATCATTACTCCTACCTCCACAAGGAAGTTCATTCCACACACATCTTCAGAACACATTATTTTCCCCTACAGAGAATCCAAATTTAATTTCTCAAATTCCATAATAAATAAACTCTATAAGTTTGATCTATTATCTACATTCAATTTTTGGGTATTGGCTGTATTATTCAAATAGGTATTTATGCGATGTACATTTTCAATGATATATTTGAGACACGATGGACATTTTACAATGTTTTGTTATTCATATCGTAAGCAATTTAAAACGCAGTTTACCTTAACATGGAAGGAACATATCCCAGCTCGGACTTCAGCCTCGTCCATGGCCCACAAATGAGGCTTAGGATTAGAATGATGGCCTGGCGATCCGGCGGTATTTCCCAGATCTTTACGGCGTCTGAAACTGTCTCGAAAACTCCTCCGTAATCGGTCCATTTTAGACGGCGACCGACCACTCTAAAAATCGGAAAGAAAAAAAAATTGTTAGATTATTATTTAATGGCACATTTGACTTTTTTTTTTAAATATAAGAATATGATACTATATTATATAGTATTAAATTACACCATGACAATATATTATTGATGGCGATCTATTCGTCAACATAATAATATAGTGTCTTGTGTCATTAATTATAACAGATTTTTAATCTTCATAATAAAAAATATCAAAATATGTATTGACATCGACATGTATGCCGATTGAATAATCGAACGATTTACACAATTTGTATTTTATACGTTCGAGTAACATAAAGCCACCACGATGATTATCAAGCGTTCGGATTAATTTTTATTACACTTGAAATAATTTAAATATATTACACAAGAGTACAACACAATATAATATGACTACGGATCTTAATTAGTAATATTATTAATTTCAAATAAATATTATATGACGCACGTTCTGATCAGACCTATAATTTAAATCCCTGCAGGTTTTGAAATACAAATAGCATTTCGCACGAACTGGACGGCAGCCGATGGATGGCTTTATTTTGTTGAAAAATAATAAGGCAGAGCGTACACATTTGGAAAATATGAATTTTTGTATTTACAGGAATTGTACTAATTTGGAAATATATTTTGTCGGTAAGGTATTTACAATTTACTCGATAAGTACCTATTGACAAGTATTTACTCGAATACGTGTATCGTGTATGGAAATCAAACCGTTTGCAAATATTATTTTGGAATTGTATTTAATTGAAAGGTATTTGACAGTATAGTAGGTATTAGCTCAGAAACGTATTTTATCGAAAACGGAAAAAGTATTTGTTTGGAACCGTATGTCGGTATATGGTATACTGTAACCAAATAATGTAGGTACCTACACATTTCCAACACTTATTATGAAAATAACAAGATATTAGGAAAATATTCCTACAAGAAAGAAGTTTCTGAGCGACTGAGCAAATATGTTTATGACAAAATATTGTACAGTATAATATAATATATTATATCATATTGCAGTTCAAACAACATAATATTATATAATAATATAATATCATGTTTATGTTTCCATCAGAATATTTTCCTTATAATTACGTTTCCGACATAATATATTTTCAAACAGATTCCAAATTAATATGATTCAATAAAAATACAATAGGGACTATATTAGGTATGTATTTCCAACCAAATATTTTAAAAATAAATAAACATGGTTCCAAATGAATAATTTTTTAACTTTTTATGCACGCAACATTTTTTTATGTATTGTTTTTATAACAATCACATTTAGGCGGTGCTGTATAAATTAGTTGGGAAAAAACACTATCTTTCTCTATATATATATATTATATTAACCATTGATTAAAGTTTAAAAAGATTATATCCACGAATAAATTATAAAATTGCATTAATTTTATCAAATTTATGTGTCAACACTTCAGAATTAAGATGATGCGTTGTATTGATGGTTGAAATAAATATACAATGTGACCTATAAGAGAAAAACTAATCAAATTAATCATGCACCATATGGTTCTCTTTGTTAAGCTTAATTTTTATTAGCTTTAAATGATATTTTAAACAAATTCTTATGAAATAATAACCTAACCTATAAATGTAGACTATTAATTATGTAGTGACGAATTCAGTGGTTCTATATTGAATACCTAGTTTAATGAATTTCATGAATTTTTGACTATAAATATAAACTTATATTAGATCTATTACCTATATAGGCTATAGAGTATAGACATATAATATTATAACCTTCTAAGCTTTAATCATCGGTTAATCATCTGCTATAATTTGCCAAACACTGGCTGTAATGCTGTATAATATAATATTATATACCTAATAGTTACACCTCGATACACCTTAAGGCTTAAATAGCTGTTATATTCTTATGGTAAAGACAATAATTAATAAGGTGTCAATATTATGTCGTGGGTACACGAAAATATAATCACAAAACTTCAACACCGCGTACGAGAGTAAACATATTATTATTGTATAGAATGTATATCCTATAATACCTATATTATATTATAATATAGAAATTCTCGCAAGTCGAACAAATTAAAGTTACAGCGATTAAAATACTTGTAAGTACGAGTTTAAATCGCCAAAATGTAAATATACAAAGGTCGCCACTCGGCATCACGCATTCACGCTTTTGTTTTGCTAGTCAGTCTAAATTTAAAACCACACGCGAATCTGCTGCAGCTGTGTGGCATATAATATTATACGAATAATTCGTTGTTTATACTGTTGAATACGTTTGGTCGAAAATGGTAGTTTTATCGACAACATTTTTTAATTGTTACCATAGGCGTGCGCACAGGGGGTGCCAGGGGTGCCCAGGCACCCCCGGACCCTTCACCAAAAACGACAAGGGCCCTAATTATTAATTAAGTGTACATTTTAAATCTTAGTAAACGTTAAGGCTTGCATCTTATGGAACCAATATTGAAAATTATTTTAAAAGTAAGTTCAGGATTTCAGTCTCCTAAACTTGATCTATTAACAGCTATTAATTCTATTCAAGCACTTAAAAATTCATTAATATTTATGAGGAATGATACATTTTTTAAAAACATTTTTGAAGAAGTTACTACCAAATGTATTGATTTAGATATTAATATTTCTACGGTTAAAAGAAAGAAAGTGACTGTGAAATTAGATAATAATTATTCTAATCAATTTTTTTATGATTCCAAGTATGATGAACTCAGGTGTTCTATATTTAATCCGTTAATGGATAATCTTGTAAATGGTTTAAGCATAAGATTCAATCAAGAGAACTTAGATTTGATTAGTGTTGTAGGAAATTTATTGAAGTTAGAATAAAATAACAGTTTTTCAAATATTTTATCTAAATTATTCTATATATCAATCGATGAACTGGTAACTGAAATTAAAATTCTCAAACATATGCCTGATGTACTAAGTGGTACATCCAGTGAATCTATTTATGTGTGGTTAGATTGGTTAAAAGAGAGTGGACGGTTAGACATTTTTAACAATATGTATTTAGTATAAAAATGTTTACCATAATACCAGTAACAAGTTGGCAGTTGCACATGTGAAAGGGTATTTTCCAAATTAAGCATTGTAAAAAATAAACTCAGATGTACTATGTGCCAAGATAGACTAGAATCATTACTACTAATATTCACAGAACAAGAACTAGCATGTAAATTAGATTTTAACGAAATTATTGACGAATTCAAAAATGTTGTTCATTTTAAACGTCGATTATCATTACCTATAAGATTAAAGATTGTATATCTCTATATATTTATGTATTGTTATGTAATATGTTTTAGAACGAATAATAATAAAAAAAATATTTTTATTGCATTTAATATCTTTAAATCATTTGTCTGTATCTATAATTATTTTCAAAATTATTGTGGGCCCTAATATTTAGTGTGCACCCCCGGAACCAAAAGTCTGCGCACGCCTATGATTGTTACGAATACCGGAATACCTAAACTTAGTGGCGTATATACAAATTATTTTCAGTATGGGCAAGTATTGGCAATTTATCACCAGTCAAGTATAGCACGACTGACATAGCCATAACTAGACATATTATTTTAGGGAGCTGGGTGGTTATTATTATGACATAAATAATACAAATAAAAATTGCGCAATTTAATTTTGTAATTATTATGTAAAATTAATTTTTTTATTCTTTTTTAAAAAATATTGACAATTTCATATAAAATATATATATATATTTTAATGTTATCTTACTGTGAATTTAACATTCAAAGTCATCAAAGGAAGTCCTGACAATCATTTCCTTGTTGATTCCTCAAAAACGATTTTAATGAATCATGGTGAAAAACTGTAAACAGTGTAGACTGTAGATATACATGAAATGTTTTAATTGAACCAGCAATTTCACTATGGGCTGAGGCCTAAGGGGCCTCCCCCCTATATGCGCCACTGAGTCCTATACAGTATAAGCTTTAGTACTATAGTAGTATACTGTATGTTTTCTAAGTATGCATAATGTTTACCGTGTCGTATATTTATTTAGCTACTATAATACTGTCATTATTATCCCCAAAGGCTCAAACGCAAAAGTATTATTATACACAAACATGAAACAAATAATAAAACGTGACATTAATCGCGTAAAACAACAGCTGGTCTGCACGGATTGGAAAGATATTTTTCGTGATATTTATCTTATGTTTATAAATCTACAACACCTTGTGTGTAATATTATTATTTATTTACACCAGGTGATCTATTTAACGTAAGACACTCAGTATTTCAAAAACTATTAACACTTGACATTTTTTTTTTACATAAATTTAAATTGTTAAAACAGCATTTTTCTGAAAAATATTCTTTGTACTATTTTATCGTGATAATGTATTAATTTTTTTTTCATGACAACATGTATTTTTAAGTATTCCTTATTTCAAATAAGAAAATATTTTCGAGGTACTTCGAAGTATATAAATCGAATTTTGAACGAGTAGATTATAAGTTATTATATAACATTTTTAAAGTTTAGATGAGAGAATTGGAGTGGTATAGCCGTGTAGGGGTACCCCGCAAAATGTTGGTCCAGTACTTCGCTTATCCCAACCTAAAATACTTAATAAACCACTTGTCTGAAATTTGAGTTTTATAAAACGAAATAATCCGAAAAATATTCTGCTTTGAAATTAAAGTATATTGGCATTCAAAAAAATTAAAACTTAATCGATAACGATAACAATAGAAAATGGTAAAATATATAATTTTATTGTACAAAAATATTTTGTAACAACTTAAAATTATTTAAAATAGATATTTTAACATAATATATAAACATCGAGCGACGTTCGAAAATAAGAAGTGTCATTCTTCGTATTTTGCAATGCGATAGATGGGTGCTCATTACGTAACTATCTTTAGACAACGACTCTCTAGAACATAGTTGTATTATCCTATTCCTATACAGATAAAATATAATTCAACACAACGCATATTACTCAG